TGGAGGAATCAATACAGGAACTCCTAGTATTGCATCAGGAAGTAATAATCCATCTCAACCACCAGCTGTCACAACCATAGCGAATGTTCAATGGACTAATATAGCTAATAATCCTAATACAGCAGGATTTAATACTGCTACTACTGCTGTAAGTAGTAATATTGGAACAGGATTTGGATCAACAGGAATGGGATTTGGACAACCACAACCACAACCTCAACAAACTCAAACTATACAACCTCAACAAAATGTTCCTCCATTTAATCAATTCGCTCAAGGTGGTAATCAAAATAATCAGAATGCACAATTGGCTCAGGCACTTCAACAAATTACATTTGCCTTACAAACGATGGCTATAAACAACAATAATGCAGGACAGGTACAAGTTAATCGTGCTGAACTGAACTTGGTAAAACCAAACTATTTCCATGGACTTGACGATGAGGACCCTTTTGAATGGATCGCCTCTTTTAATTGAGCTGCTACTGCAAATCAATGGAATAATAATAGAAAAATAGCCATTGCAGCTGGATATTTAAGAGATGCCGCAGCCAAATGGTACGATGAAAATCAAGGAAATTACCAAGGATGGCATGTACAAGGAAATCCTAATAGCTTTGTAAATGCATTCTTAAACTATTTTGCCAACGCTACCATGAAAAATAGATGGATGTCTGAGTTGGAAATGATTAAACAAAATCCTGGACAAAGTGTATCTGATTATGCTCAAAAGTTCAAGATGTTAATGCAACGAGTTGATACTACTGAAGGATTTGGACAACATTATATTGTTAGTAAATTCATTAGAGGATTGTCACCCCACTTAATGACCATGGTAGTCGGCCATAGCCCTTAAACTTTAGATGCAGCTATCACCAAAGCTAAAGAAATTGAAACTGGATTTACTATTGCTCAACCAATACAACAACAGCAAATAATGGTCAATCAAATGGAGATTCTTCAACAACAGGTTGCTCAATTAACTGTGAATCTAGCAAATACTCAAATCCAATCGAATCCACGTTCTAGGTGGAATCAACAAAATCAGCAAAACCAACGAAATGCAAGCTTTCAAACTCATTGAACCAATGAATGTTAGAGATGTGGCGAGGAAGGACATTTTGCTAGGGAATGTCAATCAGAAACACCTGTAAAAGCCCAACCAAGGTTCCAAAATCAAAACCAACACCAAAATCAAAATCGTACACCGTACCATCCATCTGGTAGACCACAACAACGTAATGTTAATTTAACTGAAACAGAGCAAACGGAACAAGATGAAGAAGTATATACTACAACTAGAATTTTTCCTAGAACTGAGTCAAGAGGAGAACAAAGGGTACGAACTCCCCCTCGATCTCCTAAGCTGGTCCCTCAAGCTAGATTTGTCCCACATTATGAATAACCCTATAATTTCGTTCAAGATTTAGGAAGACATGATGCCAATGTAACTTTTGGACAACTATTACGAAACCCTCAGTATCTACAAGAATTGAAAGATCAAATTAACAAAGTAGAAAAAGAAATTGGAATTAATATCGCACAAACTCATGTTAATGATAATAATAAATACACTGCTGCCAGGTGTATTATGCGATACAAACTAAATCCTATTGAAGTAATTTTGGACTCAGGAGCCGCTGCCTGTATTATCTCAACAACTTTGGCCAATAAATTGAAGATTAAACCAAATAAGTCATCTGATATCCTGGTAGTAACTGCTGATGGACAAAGAAAAAGATCATTAGGAATTATTACTTCAGTTCCTTTGATTCTACAAGGAATTCAATTTACTGTCGATTTACAAGTAATTGAATCACCTCAAGATACTTTGTTATTAGGAATCAACTGGTTCAAAACATTTGATGCTAGGATGTACTTCGATCAAGATGAATTGCATGCAAAAATTCAGAACCAATTAGTGAAATCACCGATAAAATGTATTGAAGAAGCAAAACCATATTTTAGAATACTAGCCAACACAGCTGAAAGTGAGGAGGAAGAATATGAGGATGAAGCTCTCTTTAAAACAGACCTCTTTCAAATTGAAAATGAGAATGAAATTTATTCTGATTCAGAAATCGATAAGGATGAATTAGAATGTATTGAATGGCCTTATGATGAAGAAGAATTTATAAACCTTTATATAGCTGATGTTAAAGAAAATGAAACAGCAGAACAAATCACTGTCAAAGCTCTTATTCCAAAAGAAATTATCTCAACTGGAGAAACTGACATTGGACAAACCCCATATGTAAATCATCAAATACCTCTCAAACTCGGAGTTAGACCTGTTGCTCATCCACCATATAGGTTAAACTAAGAAAGAAAAGATTTCTTAGAAAAAGAAATTGATAAGATGTTAGAAACAGAGATTATCCAAACCTCCGAAAGTCCTTGGGCCTCCCCAGTGGTAATCGTACCAAAGAAAACAGGAGATCTAAAAATTTGTGTTGATTACCGACCCCTGAATGCAATCACTATTACTGACAGTTATCCAATTCCAAACATGCAAGACCAATTAGAAAACTTTAGGACTGCGAAATATTTTACTGCTCTCGACTTAGCTAGCGGATACTGGCAAGTAAAAATGCATCCAGAAGATCAACCAAAGACTGC